ATGATAAGTTGAGTATGCATTAGTGAAATGATAAATTAAGTTAATATTTTAACGGGTCCACTTCATATTGTAACATATCACCAAAATGGATGTGTAAAGGTACTATCAATGAGTTCCGTTGGTCGATTGACAATTACGCATTAATGAATTAACAAGTAAGTATTAATGGAATAACAAGTTCAATTAGACTTTGTTTGGAAACTTGGTTTATATTGTATGTAAGATTTGCATTATATTATTAAGAGGCCTTATTGGCATAGTGGTTATCAAGTTTTTTGGTGTGCCAAGGATCTTGAATTCAAATCCTCTTTTGCTACGTTGGGGCATTTATCCTCTAGCAGTGTTGGAGCTTTAGCAACCGCCATTGATAGTCTAGTCGTTAGAGTTTCGATGACTATTGTAGGATAATTTGGTGGCCAATAGTTGAGACTCCAATGAGGTGGAATCCTAAAAAAATATTTTTTATTAAAAAATATAAGATATTTTTAACTGAATCTCACCTTAAATAAAGTAGCTAGTTATTTTTTTTTAAATTAATTCTATCTTTTCATATTTATCCCCATAAAACACTTTAAAATAAATATAAAGTAATTTATTTAATAGAGGCATTTAAAAAGAAAAAAATAATTACACCTCCAAATTAAAAATGTCTTATATTTTTTAACATTCAATTCTTTAAAAAATAATTTACATTTTTTAATGAAGAGAGTAAAGGGTATTATGATCATTTGATTTCCCACCTTCAAATTAAAACATATTTTTTTAGATTTTATAAGTCGTTATTTGAAATTAAATCCTACAGGGTCCTCTATTAAAATTCTCCCGAAACATAATTATTCATTATAAAAAATATTTATGTGGGCAGCTTTGAAAGCCTAACTTATATTTGAAAACATCAGAGAATATACAAAAGCGATGAGAAGATCAGCAGGTTGAACACGCACACACGCACACACACGCAGAGACACACACACGAAGTGTACAACTTGCATTTTACACTATTAAAAAACCAAAGTAAAGCAGTGAAGATATTGGAGATTCGAGGAGTACGAGGGTGAGAGGTGTCTCTGTCTGAGGTAGCCAACACACATGTCTCTCCGTAGTCCGTACTGTAAAGTAAGTTAAACTTTTTAAAAAATAATTAAGACAGCCTGTGATGGCTACCCACCCTACCTTCCTTTTTAAATGTTACATTTGAGGAAATTTTTTTTTAAAACAAAAATTGCAGATAAAAACCCAGCTTTCTAGCTTGCCCAAAACTGGAAATTTTGAAGGCAGTCACAGCTTGTCTAAATCTGCTTATTTCTATCTTATTCCCTCCTTTCCAATAGACGATTTTGTTCTGATTTAGGTTCCAACTTCACAGGCTCAGAAAAAGGTAGGGGATGAAAGTGAAATCATAATTTTTTGATCTCTCCCTCACATTTGATCTCCTTTGTCAAGCAAGTAACTAAGCTAACTGATTTTTGCCCATTATTATTTCATGGTTCTTTTCTTTCACTTTCAGAGTTTGTTCAAGTTCTGTTTTTTTTTTTTTTCCTGTTTTCTGCATAGTCAAGAGCCAAACCCAGGAAACCCTAATCTCTGTTCACTCCCTTCTTTTCTGTAATGATAAATTTCCTTTGCTTTTCTTCCTTTTCCTTTACACCTCTGTAGCTATCTGAATTTTTTTTTTAAAAAAAAAAGACAAGAAAGAAAGAAACCTATCTGCAGCTTATCAATCTTTGTACGTACTTCAATGTTTCTGTAAGAGATTTAATATGGTACTCTTTTGTTTTATTATTTTCTATGTGGTACTAAGCCCCATAAATTAATTTTGACTGATGATTGATCTTTTGATCGAGAGGGAGATGACGAGAAAGAAGATAGAGATAAAGAAGATCGATAACATAGCAGCGAGGCAAGTGACGTTCTCAAAGAGGAAAAAAGGGCTTTTCAAGAAAGCGAAGGAACTTGCTACGCTCTGTGAAGCTGAGATTGGTCTCATGGTCTTTTCTTCCACCGGAAAGCTCTACGACTATGCCAGCTCAAGGTCTCTTTCTTCTCCTTATATAGCCCTGAATCTTACGTGTACTTCATCTTCTCTCCATATAGCCTTCATTTTCTATCTCTACATATAGCATTCTTCTTCATATTGATAAGTCAAATCCTGTACAAAATTTTAATTTTAAAAAATTATATTCCCAATTGGCCTGGGTAATAAATTCTTGTGTCTTTACCTTTAGAGAAAAATTTCATATACAAAAGAGCAATCAAACTAACTCAAGTTGATATTATAAAAGTTCTAGTCAGTTAAATAGTTAGAGGTTCAAATCTTAACGTCTGTGTGTGTATCAATTACGTGGGAGCAATATACTTTTGCTATCAGTGCTCCAGAATTAGGTTTCTTCTTGTGCTCACCAAAAAAGATTAAAAAAATAATAAATCATAACAAATTTCAAAGTTGGTTATTAGTTAGCCTTCCACAGAAAGTGAGATTTTCTTATAGTTTGGCGTTTTTCACTTTATTTACACATTAGATGTAAAAATATTTAGCTGTATCATTTAACTGTTTAATATTGAATAAAAATTTAACTATTTAATATATTCTAAATTATTCCACAACAATTTTGGAATATTTACACATTTGATAGTAAATTTGTTTATTTTAACATGTTCTACCTAGAATATCATCATGGGCTGTAACGACTGGTAAGACTAACATTTATGTATTTCTATATATATGTATTTTCATGGGCGCACATTTATGCATGCTTTATTCCTATGAGAAAAGCATTGAAAAACATTAATTATGATTAGATAATTGTACAAAAATAAAGTAAAACGATACAGAATATATCGAATAGAGGCTATATTCTCCTAGTTATTTTTTCAATATCAAAGTAATTATTAATATACATAAAGGATGCAAATTAAAGCCACAACTATAGTTATACTTGTGTGCATCATCTTACCATGATACTTGCGATCCTTAGTGTAGCTAGGTTGTGGTCACTTGGCTATCACTATATAATGCATTCAAATCTGTTGTCCTAGCCGAAGATTCTTATATGCTTAATGAATTTTCTCAGCCATGCAACCAAACATGCATTGAACTTTGCCTTCCAAAGTTGACAACAGTTAGGGTAAATATAAGACAAAGTTAACCAACTTCGTGCTTATTAACAAACATTAATTATATGCTTAAAATTGTGCAAAAAAAAGCATAATTAATAATCATATTAAAATGTTGTTTGGGAATTCAAACCATAATAAATAAAATCAATTATTCTAATTTTACCATATATTAAGAACCAAAAAAAAACTTACAAGTTTGGCCTTATGTCAAGGACTAGAGATAATATGTCTCTGCATTGATTGATAATATGTCTCTTCATTGATTAGCACAACATATGCTTTGCAAAGAGCCTTAATCAAGTATCCCACGATCCTCTTGATCATTTGTTAATGCTTTTGTCCAGGATTGGATTGAAAACGTCTCATAACACCCAAAATAAAAAAGAAATCAGGTCTTGTAGGAGTCGTTTGCCTATATACAATTAAACTTTGTGGATTTCTACCTTTTTGGACAAAATTCCTCTCACCTAATTAAGCTATTTATATATCCATTAAGAAATTTATTCCTCACTTCATTCTGACGTAATGGAACATTTCCTCTTCTCCTACAGCGTTGTGTCTCTCAGGACCATGCTATAAAAGAATCACCATATAACATTTTAGTCATGGCCAACCCATAAAAGTTTTCAAAAAAAAAAAAAATCCCCATTATAACTCTTCTTCCCCTAGTTCATCCAAAAGTCCAAGACCACCCATACTTTAGCCTCAAATGATGATTAGGATGTTTAATTACTTAATAATGACATGTGATGTTAAAAAATATAGTAAAAAAATCTATCATATATAGGAAATATCGATAAGCCAAAGTGTACAATAGGAAAGATGATTTATGGATCTAATTACGTTTCTACTTTTGTTGTTTTCACATCTTCTTAGCACTAGCATAAATAGTAACTATAATATAATGGAGTTGTCATCGCTTTGTTATCGTAAATATTTTTGTATATCATATTTTTAGGGATTGAATAGCTAGCTAATTGATCTGTCAACGCTTTATTATTGTAAATATTTTTGTATGTAATATTTTTAGGGATTGAAAAGCTAATTGATCATTGGCATTAGTTATATAAGTATTTCACAAGAATTGATTCGAGGTTCTTCCTCTTGTGTATATATATCTCATTTACCTTTTACTATTTGAAACACACAAAAAAAAAAAAAAATCTAGAGTTGAAACTCGTTAATTCACGGGGGACAAAATAAAGGGTATAAATGCTATGATTGAGGTTCTAATATCTCATTTACCTCTATTATCTAGCTTGACCACTGTGAAGAGAGTCATACGTGCTGATCCTGGTCTTCAACTTGTGCCCTCGCTCCTTTCAATTGGTCACTGACAAATAAAGGTTAAAAGTGCTACGGTCACATGTCTCACCATGCCTAGCTAGGAAAGTATGGATGTCATATTCTCCGAGGAAAACCTTTTTTACCCCAAGTCTTCCATTAAGAGCGAGTGTATAAGTGAATTCATACTTGGAATGAAGCTCTTCAACATGTAATAATTAGCCAGCCTTAACCCTACCTGTTAGTTTTAACACTTCTACTTTGATAAGATTTCGAATAAAATTTAGACTTATTCAAGAATGAAGCAGCAAAAGATAAATTAGGATTAATTTTATTTGATTTAGTATTTTATTTAGTTCTTTAGATTCTATAATTCTTTAGATTTTATTTAGATTTAGTATTTTATCCATCATTCAATATTTTAGATTTTAGGAGATTTTATTAGTTATCTAGATTTATTCATTATCTTAGATAGTTATCTAAATTTTATTTTAGAACGTATTTAGCATTATAAATATGACTAGCAACCTTGAAGCTAGCATATCATGATTAATAAAATAGTCTTTTAAACCCTTTGGAGATTCTCCCAAGCATGGCTATTGAGAGAGATATAGAACGATATTCTTATTTTATATCATTTCAGTAGATTTTTTCCTCTTATTTCTTTTAAACATTTGAGCACCTATCATACTCATGATCAAATGACTAAAATATAGGTGGGAAACCCGTAGGGGAGAAGAATGGGAATTGGGAAGTTATAGAACTTCCAAGAGGCTATGGATCAGGCACCAGAATGTAAAGAGATCATAATAGAGGAAACAAAAGCCTTAGAAAAGAATGGGAATTGGGAAGTTATAATAGAACTTCCAAGAGGTAATTAAGAAGCTTGTTGACTTCAAATGGGTTTTTATTGTGAAAACTGTAAGGTGCAAATTGGGAAGTGTAATGGCTAGGGGTTTTCCATATAATTATGGAATTGATTGTGCAAAATTTTGTGTGCCTATAGTGGCTAAATTAAATACAATTGCATAGTTCTTCTATCTTTATTAGCTAGTAATCATAACTGGCCATTTCAACAGTTTGACATTGAGAATGCTTTTTCTAATTGGGAATCTTATTAAGGATGTTTGCATGGCATTACCTTTAAGTTTTAGAGGACATAAGGAGAAGGATAAGGTTAGGAAAATTGAAGAAGTCCTTTAAATGGTTAAAACATTCTTCTAGCTTGGTTTGAGAGGTTTAATTTGAAAAGGGGAGGCTGCAAGTAAGGACATTCATATCACATTATGTTCGTTGAGCATAAAGAAGTGAAGAAGAATATTCTCATTATGCATGTGGATGGCATTATGTTGATAGGAGATGATATACATTAGAAATGAACGATCTAATAGAAGTAATGGCTGTTGAGTTTAAGTTAAAAACCTCAGACAAATGAATTATTTTTGGGACACAGAAGTTGCTCGATCTAAGAGAGGAATTATCTTAGAGGCAATACATATTAAGTTTGTTAAAGGAAATAGGAATGCTTGGTTTTAAACCAAGTGACACTCTTATAGAGGCTAGAAAAAGACATAAAAATGAAAGTTGTTGATAAAGTATGGTATCAAATATTAGTTGGAAAGCTGATCTATTTGTCCCATACTAGTCTAGATGTAACATTTGTGATAAGTTTTGTTAGCTAGCAAACGAATCAATCTGGAGAGGGCCACTTAGAAGAAGTACTGTATATAAAGTTATGAGATGCTTGAAAGGGTCTTTGAGAAGAAGAGCCTCCTCTTCGAAAGGGGAGAACATTTGAATATACATACATACATACATATATATGCATTCACATATATAAACTAGGGCTAGGGCAAGATCTAAAATAGATAAAAGATCTAATTAATTTTGTCTATTCTACCTTTGTCATATAGAGGAAAATCTAGTGACTCAGAGGAGTGAGAAACAAAATTTGAAAACCAAAAGTAGTGCTAAGAATGAGTTTAGAGATGTAGATCATCAGAGGAGTGAGAAACAAAATCTAAAAACCAAAAGTAGTGCTAAGAATAAGTTTAGAGATGTAGATCATCAAAGAACATACTACTGAAGGAATTATAGGAAGAGGTTAAGATGCTAATAAAATTATAGTATGGCAAAAAAGTTGTTATTTCTTTCAACCCAATTCAACATGATTGAACACGCATATTGAAGTGGATATATAGGCATTTCATTAAAGAAATGTGGAAGAAGGAGTTATTGTAATGAGAGACACTACTATCTAGAAATATTCATAGAGGTTGACCACACCATTAGATTGATGCATCACCACAACTGTTTGGCATAAATCTCATGCACTAGCTGTTAACATATTTGGTCCATTAATTAGGTGATCGAGTCAATAATTCTAAGGATTAAATCTAAGATACTGTTGTGATGTTTATGATTTGATATGATGGGATTACAGCATTGTAAACCTAATATGATTATGATTATGATCTGATATGTACCATTGAAAGCCTTGTGTATATATTGAATATGTATAGCTGATTAAATCAATAAGATACAACTCATTTCTCCATATCTTGATCTTGGTATCAGAGCAACACCAACAAATTGCCATCATTAGTTCATCTAGCAACTCCACTATTTCAT